TGAACAAAGTTTACTAAGCATTGCAGGGAATAGTAAAGGCTAAAGCTATAGAGTAATTCTCAGCATATCATATCTGTGGATTTCATTGATGGGCAACCTTTTTTTTATGTTACTGTTTTGTTCACAGATCTACTGCTCACTCCATAGTAGACTTTATTTTTTTTGTCGATTTGCGTGACAAATGCAGTTCATTGGTGCAATAATTATTCACTACTAGGTGAGAAATTTAACAGTTTCTCAAAGTGAGCTCTTAGTTTCATAAGAGCTTTCTGTCATATTATTTTACTAGAGTCTAAAGCCAAATAAGATTTATAGAGGAGAAACTTATTTTCTTACTCTCAATGGGGAAAAAGAATTCTATAGTCTTGACTTCTTACTGTTTCTCAGTATGTTGTAAAACCTGTTTGATAAATTAATCAAAAACAGTAAATGCTAAGGCTAAAAAGGAAAATAAGTTACAAAGACGGCTTCATAATTTTGAAATGGATTTTGTGATGTATGTTTACGTATACAAATGTTTAGTATTGTGGTTTTATTAAACAGGAATATTTTTGCTGGATTATTAATTTGGTATTACAATTTCTGTGCCTGTGTCCCCCCTTTGTAACTATCACTATTGCTATTATGAGAGTGGAATAGCACTCCATGGAACAGAAATTTTCAGTGACTGAAGCAGGAAATCAAGATTTTTACTTAGACAGGAATACAAAATGCTAAGAGGAATCTGCAGTATTTGCGATAATCAGAAATTTTGAGATAATGTGGATGATGAGAAAAACAAAAAAGGGTTTTGAGGTCTAATAAATTAACATTAATAAGGTGTCCACAGCAGGTGTTGCCGGATGTAGGTAGGTGAAATGAGTTTAAATGTTGATTTGTTTGTGTTGTGGTTTAGCCCCAGCTGGCAACTAATCCCCACGCAGCTGTTCGCGTGCTCCTTCACAGTGGGACTTTCAGCTGGTGGGGAGAATTCTCCTTTCTCTGGAGAGAAAGGAGAACTTTTCAACTGGAGGAGAGAATCTGAAGAGTAGAAGTGAGGAAACTCATGGTTTGAGGTAAAGGCAGTTTAACAGGTAAAGCAAAAGCCGCGCACACAAGCAGAGCAAAACAAGGAATTAATTCACCACTCCCCATAGGCAGGCAGGTGTTCAGCCATCGCCAGGAAAGCGGGGCTGCATCATGTGTAATGGTTTCTTGAGAAGACAGATGCCATCACTCTGAACATCCCTCCATCCTTTCCTTCTTCTTTGTCCCAGCTTTATATACTGAGCATCATGTCATACGGTATGGAATATCCCTGTGGCCAGCCTGGGTCAGCTGTCCCAGCTGTGCCCCCTCCCAGCTTCCCGGGCACCCCCAGCCTTCTTGCTAGCAGCCCAGCACGAGAAGCTGGACTGTCCTTGACTACTTAGCAACAACTCAAAACATCAGCAGCTTATCAACATTTTCTCATCCCAAATCCAAAATGTAGCCTCACCACTAGCTTCTGTGAAGAAAATTAACTCTATCCCTGCTGAAACCAGGATAGTATGCTACACAAGCAGTAGGTTGGTAGATGAGTTACTTTGACTTGTGGTCATATCTGGAGAATGATGTGGGCAGAAGGTGGTAGGTATTTGAAAATAAAACAAGAAAGCTGTATCATAGCCTACCTGTGGAGAACAAGCAGAAGGAAGACCTGCAAGAGGAGGTACTTGCTGAATACACAGTGGGAGGGCAACAGATAGTTTCACTCTTACATGCTCAAAAGAATAATTACAGTGGTAAAAATTGGTTTTCCCCTGTTTTTGGAGCTTTAACATAATTTTTTAGTGATTATTAGAATGAAAGCCCTCTTCAAAAATTTGCTTTAACAAATTTTAAAGGTGGATAACTTTAGAACCTGGTTTTGAACTTGTTGAATGTTTTTCTACTATACATGAATTGAAGTTGAATGACTGTTTTGTGCCAGCTGACATTCATAACCTGAATTACATCGGCCTTAGTCTAACATGGATCAGTGACAAAATAGAGGTGGTTTGGAAAGGCTGCACTGGGTGCATTGCTTGTATGTTCTTTCAGTTACTTTGACCGGTCATTTTGTGCACAGTTTGAGAAATTGCTGTTGCTCAGCCTTCATGCTTTTATCAACAAGGAGTCACTGTTGAACTAGATTTTAATATGTTAAAAAAAGTGACATTAGTAAGTTCATCAATGTTAGCATATTGAGATAAAATTCACTTCAGGATTCAGACATTTTCTCTGTTGCTGTGTGAAGATGTATTCAGATATAAACCTGTTATTTCTATCACTGGAAAACAAAATTTGCAGTGAATAAAATATGCTATTATTGGAGCTGCCTAAGCTTGTTCGAAAGAAATAGTTGGGGTTTACCTTACAGTTTTCAACTAGCAGTTAATTTTATTGTTGAAGTACAAGCCAGTTTGAGAAATGCTGATCCAAGTTATATGTCTATCCCAGTCTTTTTTTCACAGTTTCCCCAAAATGGTATCAGTTATGTGGCAAGTTATTTTGCCTCTTCTTAACAGATACTGGTTTCAGGTAGTTCAACAGTGTGTACTGTTAATGAAGAAATACCTGGAAGTTAAAATCTGATCAGATCTGGAGGCCTTCAGGTGCAGTAATTACAAAGTGCAAGACAGGATTTTCTCCACATTTCCAAATCCAAATGAAGGCAACCATGACCTGGATTAAGATTTTTCCTCCTCATTTTGTAGATGGTATCCAAGAATTGGAAGGGTCAGTGATGCGCTCAGAACCGCAGTGGCAGCGAGGGTTGAGCAAAATTTTTATGAATATTCATAAGATGCCTTTAGTACAAGACCACAGAGACATTCAGCCACTTACTGGGCACCAGCTTTCATTTCACTGGCCACTATTCTCTTGGTTTCTTTAAACTTCGTGCTATCTGATATCCCATAAAGCTTCAGCAATTCCTTCAGTCTTTCCAACTATGTTAATTTTGGCATTTTGCAAAAAGGGACATCTATTAACATTTGTCTTTTAAAACTTTTTTAGATTGGGACTTGCTTCTTTTAGCCCTATAGGATGGTTTCACACAGCACATCTTGGAAGAAATATTTTTTTATTTCTTTACCCAAGTAAATTTCAGCATAGATAGGCTAAAGGTAGTGAAGCATAGGTGGGAGATAACTTCCTGTTTGAAATAATTTTTCATTTTTGGTCAGTTTCTGTTTTTCCCCTCATCTGACTCTATTTGACCTGGATAATCTTTTTCAATGACTCTTACTGTTCCCCTGCCTCTGCCATATCTGGGATACTTCCCTAATCATCCTGGGAACTGTTCAAAACTATTGCAGTGTTTTCCTTTTAAGGAAATGATATGCCATTTTATTTTACTTTCCTTTATATCAACAGTTACATAAAATACCATGAAAGATTAAAATGTGAAAATAAATAGTTAAATCTAAAGAACAGTTAGTGTTCCTGTTGTTTTAATGGTCTCAGAGAAAAGAACCAAATGCAGTTCAAATTCTGCGTTGTAACTGATACAGGCTTCGTCTAAAGTGGCCCATGGAACAATTTTACTGGTCGTGCTGATTTCTTTCTTTAAATATTGTAAGAGATAGGTTCTCCGGATTTCTTTCTTTAGACTAAATATTGTAAGACTCTGATAGAATTTTTGTCCTTTTTTTTAAAACATTCCCCTCCATCCAAACTCTAGGTAATTTTGGCCAGCTCAAGTTGAAAAATTGGAGGAGTATTTCTCTTGATATTGAATATTTTACAGATTTCAAACATAAAAAGCCTGTTACCTATGGTCAAAAACATTTTTTTAAAAACTTCAGAAATGTAAGGGAGTTTTTTCAAAATTTGGAAGAAAACCTTTTCAAAAGCGTGTCCTTGTCTGTTCTGCTTCCTTCGCTCATGAGCTTTGTGCATTTTGGCTTGGATTATTAGAGATAAAGATATTTGGGTGATATTTCACCCCTTATGTGAACTCGTGCTTCTTGTATGAGTTCATTGTGGCCAAAGTGACTTGATTCTTCCGCTGTTGTGTCTCTTCCTTGGCTATGGCTTCTGATGGGCTCTGTCATCTTTGTTTTGCTGAGCAGAAGGTCTCGTTACAGTAGAAATTGTGATGTTGTAGTTCCATCGCTATTTGTAGCTAATTTACCATCTCATTTTGTTACTTCCCCTTTCCCCCTGAGATGATGTGACTGGACTTTGCAGGTATTTACTCCCTGTGATGGATAAACTGAGGATGTAATCTCCGGTACTTAAGCAAGGGGTGTATTTATAGCACATGTTTGCACTAAGTGTTTATCTGCACAAGGGACGCTGCAGGAAATGAAAGCTGTGGACCAAAGGTTGTGGCTGTCAGAATATACACAGCCCTCTGCGGATAAATTGGCTTTAAAAGAAGCGGCCGACAGTGAGACTTAACAAAGTGCCTGCATCAAGTCTGAAACACAACAGATACACAGCAGTTTAGTACCACATCCTGTAGTTCTCATCTCCAAGATTTCGTGGCTTCCCTGGGATTGCTGGCAGGGTGTGCCTTGCCGGAGTGCAGGAGGCACCAGGGCTCTGCCCTCCAGACCTCCATCTTCTCCCTCTCTGCTTGGGCCGCTGGAGTGTGTGTGGTGGCAGCAGTTTGGCTCCACAGGCAGAGACAGAACAGTGTAAGTGTTGCTGTTGATTTAATAAAACATTTCAGACTCTGGCTGAAAGACCAAGGATGTACAGATAATGCAATAGTGCTGTTACAAATAGGTATGCTGTATGCTAAAAGTTATACCCAACTTAGGTGAAACTCTTTTGACCTCTCCTAGTTAAAAACAGTAGTTTAAAAACCCCCAAAACAGCAACAGTGACAAACTAAGATAGTTCTTGGTTTTCTAGAAACAAATCATTGAGATTTCCTTTCCAACAATACTTCTGAAGCATAGATAAAATGGCTTCCTGTCCCAGGGTTTCCTGTATCCATGGCAACCTGACTTTAACCACTTCTTTCTTAGTTTCCTGAGCGAGCAATTGCAAATCCTGTGGCAAAATGTTAGCGCTAGTACACGGCAATACTGCCTTTACAAAGGTTTCACAGATGAGGGTAGTCGGTCAGCTTGTAACTTAGTCCAATGAACTGCAAAACGGCAAAATAACAGAAACAATGAACTTCAGATTTGGGGTAAGGAATCGTTTTTATTTACTTTGAGCATAACTCAGCTTTATAAAAGTAAAATTCAAATTATAAATGAGCTGCCAGTGAAAGGAAACTTGTTTCCATTTGGTATTTCTACTTGAATGCTATTGAAGCATTTTGTTGTCATTCTTAGCTACAAAAAAATAGCTAATAAGCAGTATTTTGAATTTACTAGAAGCTGTTATTTTGGCAGCTTAGTTGCTTTTGTGCTGCAACCAATTAAATATTTTCTGGCTAGGCTGGCAGTACATTTGTTTCATTGTTCATTTAGTTTGAAAATTTTTTCACTGCAGTTCAAACTTAGTAAATATAAGGTTTATTTTTAAACTGTTTATTTGGCATCAAAGGAGAATATGTAAAATACCTTTAAAATGCTTATTTTAAAGACTGTACACGTAGAATCTTTAAATTTTTGAATTAATAATATTTATAAACTTCTTTTTATCTCTACTAGCAAAGTCAGAGATGAGTGAGAAGGCCAAAGACAGGGATATGTGTGGTCTGCAAAGTTCTCCACCCTGCCCCGGAGCATTCCTGTATATCCTTAATTGTTTTCTTTTGTTGCTGCTCCAGAAGGACGCTCTTGGCTGTCCCGCTGCTTGCCAGCTCTGCACAGGGAGACAAGTTAGCTGTCGTAATTTAGGGCTTTCGAGCATCCCACGGAACTTTCCAAAAACGACAATTCTTGTGTACCTCAGTGGGAATAATATATCGCATGTCACTCCAAATGAACTAAGAGGCCTTCAGAAGCTTGCTGCACTCTACATGGATAACTCCTGTATTTCGTATGTACACCCAAAAGCTTTTGTGGAACTCCCCAAACTGTGCTACTTGCATCTAAATAACAATAATATTAAACGCCTGGATCCAGGAATCTTTGAAGGTCTTTCCAATCTTCATTGTTTATACCTTCAGAATAATCAAATAGCTTTTGTTCCCAGAGGATTATTTAGTGATCTCCTTTCTGTTAAATATTTAACACTTCAAAGAAATCGTCTCAGTGTCCTTGGAAGTGGGACTTTCTTGGGAATGATAAGTCTCCAGACACTTAACCTAGCCAATAATAAGATTTCACGGATATCAGATTCAGCATTTCATCATCTTGAAAACCTTGCATATTTGTTCCTTGAAGGTAACAACTTAACACTTGTGCCATCAAATGCTATTGGAAGGCTCAAAAATCTTGAAAGGCTTTCTTTGTCTCACAATCCCATTGGATCAATACATCCTTTTGCATTTAAAGGACTTAACAAGCTTAGATATCTGTCTTTAAAAAATGTAAAGCTAAAATGCATTGCTGTAAATGGATTTTTTGGATTAAACAACCTTAGCCAGTTAATCTTAAGTTATAATGATTTAGAAAATATAAATTCCAGTACTTTTACTTTACTGAACAATTTAATGTATTTGCAGCTAGACAGAAATAAAATAACCAGTATTGGCAATGGTACCTTTGAAAAAATGGGACAGTCACTTAAAATACTCAGTTTAGCATTTAATAACATTACAGAGTTACAGCCTGAAGTGTTCAAGCCCTTAGTGTCTTTAACTCATCTACAGGTAAATTATAATCCTTGGAACTGCAGCTGCAAAATGCTCGGGTTACTTAATTGGCTAGCATCCTCTCCTATTTCTGTAAAAATTCATTGTCAGAATCCCCTGAGTATGCGTGGTAGACCTTTGCACTACATTAAGTGGACTCAGTTTGCAAACTGCAGTCACCCTACTGCCAGCCCAGAAACAGCCTGGAGTCTAGGATCCGTAGGTGTCCATCACAGCACTACCACTTTGCTGATGGCGTGGCATAAAGGAGACAAGCACAACACATTTGAACAGTTCGTCAATGCAGAAACTGAATATGTTGCTTTCTGGGAAGGAGCCACAGCTACATCTGCTAACCCATTGCCCTATGAAGAAACTGCTGCTGAAATTCCATCACGGGCAACTACAGTATTATCAACATTACCGGTGCAAATACCAGCACAGATTATACCTGTTAACAGAACCGTAGAAGAAGGTTTAGTTCCAACAGATGCTACTCCTGTATCATTAAAAACATCCCTACTTTGTACACAACAGGTTGAAAAGCTGAATCAGGCTTTTGACATTTTACTAGCCTTTTTCATTCTGGCTTGTGCTGTGATCCTGTTCTTAACCTGTAAAATTATTCAGTTTAGGCAGAAACTAAGGGTGCTGGAAAACTCCGGGGAAAAGAGAATAGAGTATTATGGGTTTTATCAGCCTGGCAGGTACAACATAACTGACCAAGTACAGTCTCTAACTCGGAATTCAATGGGGCATTCAGAACTGGACCAAATAAGGCTGCTCAAGCGAACAGCTTCTGAAAGTCAGGCACAGGTCATATTGTTTGAACATTCATCATTGTAATTTATCTCATTTGATTTGATGTTAACTTTATTGTGTTCTGAAATGCCAAGAAATCAAGAACTCAATTTTCTAAAAATACCTTCACTGCTTAAAATCAGCTGGTTCAGAGAATTGTGAAAAATGGTATAATTTGGGTTCTGCATCATCATTTGCTTCCTGAATGTTTTGAAGTTTATTGATTTTTATTAGATGTCATTTAAACCTGACATGGATAGGTGTATTATCCTCTGTCCCTGTTGTAGGACTCTTTCACCTATAACTCATGTATACGTGCAGTATGAAGCACACATGTATTTATTTTTATTTTGCAGTAATTATTATTGTAAGTTTCTACAGAAATTTCATAGCTAGTTTGAAGCAAGCAAAACATCAGTTTTTAGCAGGATTATGAATCCCAGAAATCTGGGGGAGTAAAAAAATATGCAATGCTTCATTTATTTATTGTAATGCAGTTTCTACTCTGCCTCTATTATTAATAATCGTCACAATGGGAAAAAAGTGAGCATATTTACATCTAGCATGTTCAAACTCTTGAAGAAAAATTTAAAACAATAACAAGTTTTATTCATACCTTTGACATATTTTAATAGACAACGTTGTGTATTCAGTCTGTATAATGAATATATTAAAGTGAATTTTTTGTTAGTGTGTATCTGTATTATTTTATGATAATAGCTGGCATTGGAGTTAACAGGGAAACGAAATTTCTGTTGGATTGAAAAATTGACCAAGTTTATTATGTCTAAGGTAATAAGAGCTGGTTACTGTCAATAGAAGATAGTTTGTCATCTATATAGTAATAGTTTGAGGGAGGTTTGGCTAGATAAGAGCTATAAACTGAAGAAATGTACTACACTTAAAATACATAATTCTCAATTAATTGCTGAAGATATTTACGTATTTGTGGTGTGTATTTGGAAATGTCAGGTCAAAGTACATTTTTTAGTGAAGACCTTATTTTAGGCTTCATCTTCAAAAGATGGATATTATTTTACTATATAGTTTGCATCTGTTTAAACTTTTTATTTCTATTTCTATTTTGAATATTGATGTTCTGTTTACATTGTTGTCAGGATATGTCTAGTCTGTTGTAGCATATTTTCAACATGAATTTCTGGCATTTCTTTTTTTTCTTTCTTACTTACTTTCTTCTTACTTTCTTTCCTACCCCAATAATTCAAACTCTATTGAGGAAAAAAAGTCATAAAAATGTCTTCCAAGTAGTCTAATCTCGTAAAATTTTCAGGTAGCTGAAAAGGAATTACTTTTGTAGGTACTGTTTGTCTTCTACAGGCCTGTGCCCTAAAGACTTCAACCACTTGGCTTATAAGCAACACAGTTTACAGTTAGATCATTTTGCTCAAGAAAAAATGCAGAACAATATTTTGGTAGTTTGACTCCATGACGTCAATTTAAGTTGTCTAGAAGTATCTTGCTGTTCTAGAATCCAGCTGGAGACAGGGGAGTTCTCCAGATGAACCAGAACTGCCCTCGAGGTTCCTCTTCTCGCCTACCTGCTTTCTGCCGGTGTAATTCATGTGCGTGGCCGTGTTGTGCTGCTGCCTATTGTCCTGTTTGCCCATCTCCAGCTCATTTCCAGGAATCAGACATCTTATCTGCTACCAGTACATAGACAGACCTTGGCTGCACCGTGTGGGTGTGAATGTGCAAGTGTGCCTCTGTTGCTCGTGTTATGGATCTCTATTGAATATAATGAAATATCAATTTACTACATTGTAATACTGTATTTTACTGTAACTTACTGTATAATAGGTCAAATACTTTTATGGAACACAATTCAGCTGCTTGGGCAAAACCTCAATTTTATATGGATGCCTTCAGAAATAATGGACTTAAAAGTGAGTCGAAGCATTGAGATCTTACTTAACTAGTTAGAAATGCTGTCGGAAATCTGGCAGGGGACAGCTCTGTTGTTTAAGGATGATTTCCGTAGCTGCTCTCTACAGAAGAGCATGAGAGTTTCCCTCTGAAAGTGCATCTTTTCCACTGACGAGCTGCTGTATGAGTCATTTGCCAGGCATGAGCCTCACCATCTGTAATGATGGCGCATGAAAGGAAACCGATGCTGTCAGAGTTGTTTGGGCAAGCAAAGAGTTGGAGCAGTTGGAAGCCATCGTTTGGAGTGGAGTCAGCCTCTAATATCCAGCTTACCAATGATTTGGATTAGACTAACAAGGAATTGAGAGATTCATTATGCAGTTGTGCGGGATATGCCTTTCCTTTGCAGTTAGTAGTTTTTGTATGTAAATGTTCACAGTAGGAAATGGATCCTTTCATGTACACCTGTGCTTCATGTGTCTAGCTATTAAAATCATTAGAGAACATGTTAGAAGACTTAGTTGAGTCTGCCTCATGAAGCAAAAGGGCACTTTATGGTCATCAGGTTTATGGTCAGCCATAGGACACCCCTTGGAAATGTTGTCTTAGCTGCTACATTACTTTTAGGAGCTGCTTAGCACTGTGCAGGTCCTAAGGTGGGGCAGGTGTGTGTGTAATAATCATTTATGTTGCTTGCGGTATGTGCAAAGTAGTCTCCATTTGTCCCACTCCACCTCTTCCCTTGGCTAATGAGATAAGAATAAAGACTTAATTAATCTTTCTCAAATCTACAGTACAATACTAAAGATACAAAATTAAGCTTTTCCCTTTTTTAGTGTTTACTGCTTCATCCTGGTGAATGCAGAAAAGCAAACAAGGTTTTTCTCCTCTTCCTTTTAATCTCTAAAAAAGTGTGTTTTGCCATGCAGAATTTTTCTTCCCTTTTTGATAGGCTGAGGAAGATGCATAGCAGACATGGGGACCGTTTTACTTAAGTAGCCCTAAAAATTTATCATGATATCTGTTTTATTAAGCTGATGATAAAATTTTATTTACAGTGGCTGTCTATGTAATTGAAATCCAATTTCTGATTTTTTTGGGTATAAAACCTCAGGGTAATCATAATGTTGAATAGATAGCTCTGTGTATTAGAAATGACAGACAGAATTAGGAAAAAAAGAGTATTCCTTTTTTCAGAACAGATGCAGTCTGTTTTTTCCTTTGTAAATCTTTTGTATTTTTATCTGACAAACTATGCAAACTTTGAAATAAAAGGTTTGAGATTATTCATGTACAAGCTGCTAAAAATTTGCTACAATTTGTTTTCATTATAGGTGAGGGGAAATTTATTTGCAGACAGCATAAAAGATCCTTTCTGCAATAAAAAAATTAGTATGTGTTAATTGCATCTTTGAAACTGGGTGCTGGAGTGGCTTAGATCCTAACAAGTTTATAAAAGCTATAATCCTCTAACTCTGGGCCTGTCTTTTGATAATTTTTGCTGCATACCAGATGAGGTTTTGTCCCAATAACTAAGAGAAACTGGGTAGTTATAAAACCAGTTGTAACTTGATGCTGCTGTTTGTTTGATTGCTGATCTGGATTATATGCAATTCAAGGGGGGAACTGCTTAAATGGGGCCTTCCTCCCAAGTTAAGGTTTTGATATGGACAGTGTTAACTGTTCCATTTTGAAACTTCATCTAAATACAGTGTCCCTGTCTTTTCTGGATCTACTCATATGACTTTCTAATGTATTTCTTGAAACAAGGGTGTTAATTTTAGTCTCTTTAAAAAGGAATTACGTTGATTTGCAGGGCTGTCTTTCTCTTCTGTAAAAATAAGTCTTGATGCATTTTATATTACCATTGAACTTTAATTGAGGCGGCTTCTTTTCAAAGCACAGTGAGCCTATGCTGTCTTTATTTTTCACCAGCATGCATCTTGTGACCTAAAAATAGTTGCATTGTTTAATGATTCCATACTTGGTAAACATTTCAGTGAGTCTTTGGTAGGAGGAAACTTCATGTCCCATTTTAACAGAAAAAGAAGGGGGAGAAAAGAGAAGGTATTATCTTTACTGAAAGCTGCAGGCAACAGTGACCCCATCTGGAAAAGTCTTCTACATTCTTGAGCTTTGCTTTCCTCAAAAAAAAAGAAGAATTACTGTGAATTTTCCATCCTTCACTGAAGAAAGAAGTAAAATATTATTCTTCCTTTATTCCATAAAGTAAAAACATCGTCTCCAAGTAAAGAAATTAATGACTTCTCTCTGTGCATTGGAGCTAACTATCAAGAACAGTATTTTGGGTCTTCAACCACTATCCTCAATTTCTTCTGGAAATTTCACAGATCCTTGGAAACTCAAGTTACTGAAATGTGCCTCCCTGTGTGCTCTTCCTATCAATCTACGAGCTCAGAAAAAAAACTGTAAAGTTAATGAGCACTATGCCTACAGTATTTATTTACATGTTGGTTAATTAAAGTAACTTCCCTGAATGGATTGACTATAATTAGCCCTGCAGCTGGTGAAAGAGACTATGCCTTCATTGAGTAGAACACCTTTCCTCCCTCCCAATGTAAAATTTCTGTGGCTGTTAGGGATTCTTCATGCAGCTTGGAAGGAAGAAATAGAACTACCAGGTAATGGGTAGAAACCTGTAATTATTAATTAAATGGTGCATGTGTATAGGGCGTAGGTTACTTTCCATGGCGCAAAGCGTTTGCTTTCATCCTGGGTTGAATGCCCCTTGCCCTCTATTGACATGAATCTGAGGACAGCTGTTTCCTTTCTTATGTTGGGAAATATTGACCACACTAGTGGCATTTTCCCAGAGATGTGTTTCAAAAAAAGTATGAGGCAAAAGAGCTTTAGTGGGAGGTGTGCTAGGTAGGAGCCTCAGACTCAAGTGAAGAAACCTGCTGTGTCTCCAAGGGCGTGTTCTGCAGACTGCCAAGCAGGCAGTGCTCACCTTCTCAGCGGTGCCCTGTGGCCGGTAGGCTGTTTGCTTGCTGTCTGCAGAACCCCACAGTGATTCAGTCTCACAACATGTAACACTTTGCTGTTCTAAATGAGATGGGGAAGCTTTTTGCAAGGGAGAAAGTCTCTTTTAACAGAGGTGCTTGACAATAGTAATAAGAATAAGCCAGACAATGAAAATTGTGTCAACTTTAATCTTGTGGAATTTAGGAGCTTCAAATTTCATTATGCAAAATAGAGTTCAGATCCTGGCATTTGACAGTAGCTGAGTAAAAAAGGGAACAAAACCAATCCTTTGGAAACAAAACGATCATGAATTGAATAACAATTTTATCAAAACAAATCTAAAAGAAATATTTTATATGCTTAGTACTCTAACTTGATACACATTTTTTCCAAACCATCCATTGCTATATAAAGTCTGCATGTCATATACATAATATTTTTTTGTATGTCTGACAAGCAAGTTTTTCAAATGCAATTACTAATGTACAAGGAGCTACACTTTATCCAGTTTTTCAGTTTTTATCCCAAATAAAAAAAGGAAAGGTAAGAATATTAAGAAATAGATGTGTCTATGCTAATGCATAAGGGATCAAACTACAACACATGAACTTAGTATTCAGTACCTTTAGACAAATATGGAACATGTCTGCTTGTGCCTACTGGACAGCAGCAGCATCTCCTGGTGAATATTAAGCCCGAAATTCTAAACAGAGAGTAATAAAATGCTTCAGTCAATGGCAGTCCCCCAAAGAGAGTTATAGTTTACCATCACCAGTTAGGCCACTTCTGTTTCTTTGCTGCTTGTAGCTGCAACTTTTGCAGTCTTCCTGAGGTGAACATCTTTTCACTTGCAGTATGCTTTCACCCTTTCGTAGTTCACAGAGTAGGAGTCCATGCACCGAAGTCCCACAGTAGGGCACCTCTGGCATTAGACCCACAGTAGCAGGAAATTCAGCAGAGACAGCAGTCACAGCTGCTTTCCATTAACTAGGAGCTGGTGGCACCTACTTTATCGATCATGGGAAGATCACGTTTCTATGCCCTTAGCCTCTAGGCACATCAGTTCTCAATGCAGGGGCAAATGTTTGAAACGTAAGTGTTTAGTGTCATTTTGGACATTGTGGGGGTATCCAGTCTGGCCTTCAGCTCATACTGGGGAAAGGTGCACTCTTTTGATAACTACCACCCCTTTTGCAGTTGTCTTAAATAGCCTAGTGTTTGAAATGGCAGGAGGTGCCTGTGTTTAAGCAGGGAAATCCTACCCTGCCTTCCTCTCTATAGTCGGGGAAGGGGTGATCATGCAGAACTGGGTGCTGATACTTTTCACCCTCTATGGGTTGTCATTCAACTGCCTAGGAGGGTGAAGAAATACTTGTAAGGCTGCTCAGAGAAAACTAGCAGAGTGTACCGTCTTTACAAGCTGTGCTTTGCTCAAGGGTTTGTGTCTAGATTTTGCATTGAGTCGTGATGGGAGAAAACGTCTAAATATGTTAGGAATAGAAGCCAGTACTGTGACGCTACTACTCCCTACTAGCAGCAGCATGCCCACCCCATTCATTTCTTGAGTCCTGTGCTAATGTATTTTTTCTTTTATTCCATTTGCAATTATCTCCCGAGTTTTTAGAAGTGGTAAGTGAGGTTTTAGTCTATTTAAGAATAATGTTTCTTGCATATTTTTGAAGCCTTTGTGTAACTTTAAAAAGATTGAATTGTCTGTTTGATAGCACACTCAGCTAAGCAGTAAGCGATGAAAATACTCCTTAGTAAATGTGCTTTACAGTTATTGAGCAAATTTCCTGTTTAGTTCCTTTAGCTAAGTCACTTTCCTGTTCTTTCCCAGTGTTATCCAAGATAAATTTTGTTCTTTCCTAGTGTTATCCAAGATAAATTTTGTGGTATCATCAACATTTCAGTGGAAGGGCTGCATGATGTTATGACTGAAGATCCTGAAACAGGAACATACAAAGAGTAAGTGGAAAATCTAATTAATTTTTCTGGTTTAACAGTAGTAGTACTGTTTTATACATAATGTTTTGATTGGAAGAATCTGTAGGCAGTTAAAACATGCTTGTAAGAGTTCTGTTTTCACATGAGTGAATGTTTTAGTAAGATAGGAGATTTATGGTCTTAAGAAAAAATAATTGTAATGTAGGAGGGAGGGCTTAAAATGACAGTGATTTTACGTTTTTCATTAAATTATCTACTAAATAATGTCTTAATGCTCATATGCTTAGATTTGCTTTTTGTTATCTTGACTATTATATCAAAAATTACAATCCAACAAGCTTGTATGTTGATAGGGTGGTAGCTCAGAGTTTCTTTGTGGCATCTGGAGTTTAACCAAGATCTTTTCCTAAATGCCTCAGCATCATTGAGTGGGCCCAGTGTACAATACTTCATGGCCTGGAGAACTTGAAAACCTGTCCCACTTGAAAACCTATCCCACGAGGACAATTCTCCCCCTTCAGTTGTTCCACTTAACACACCTGCATCTACAGAGCACACCCCAAAAGACAGTTTACAGAGCCAGGAGAGGGAGTTCATTTGTGGCAGGAAGGTGGTGTCACGGGTGCTCAGAGTGCACTGCCACCCAGCACCAGACTCATTCATCTCCTGCTCACCCCCAGGTTACTGGTAGTATTCCATCAATACTAGCAAAGTGAAAAAAAAAAAACCCAGTAATAAGGCCTTTTTAGGTCAGAGATCTTAATGTTGTTTTTTCTCTGTAATGAATACGTAGTTTTACAATGATGGAAAATTGTAAGACATTAAAAACAGGTGCTCTGCAAGATGTCCCTACAGGCACTATATTCTAATTTACTGGCTGCCAAGAATCAAACATTTTCTAACTTTCAGATAATTAACTGGTGATGGAACAGACTGTATCTGAACTAATTAATTAATTGCTTAAGGGCGCGTTTGGCACTGAAGCCAACTGGCACTGAACTGCCTGTATAGAATGTATTAAGTTTTCTTCTGCTTAAGACAGGTGGTATGCACACAAGTGTGTGCTGAGAATGGTCCACCCTCACACTGAGCCTGAACTATGCCCAAGAACTGCTTGCAAAAGTACTTCCCCCTCACTAGCTCCTCTCTCAAAATCTCAGTATAGAAGGCGTAACTCCAAAGTCTGGGAATGTACTTTGACGCTGTGTTCTATTTACTATTGGAGACAACATCACAGAGTCCTTTTGCTATCACTTCTTGAAAAGAGTTCTCACAGAGAAATAATTAAAACTTTGACCTAGTTAATTTCCTATTTTAAGATTGAAGGCTTGTAGAACTTGTCAATGCACTTTTCCAAACTCTGGACATTGTTTTTGCTTTATAAAATATAGGCACACTGAAGCAAGGACGTTTTTCTGTTGACAGATACTAGATGGTCTGTTTGAAAGATTCTGATATTTGTGTTATACATTTCAACATCATCTGAAAGTAAATGGAGTGAGAGCACTTACCTGGAGTCGTGTGTGCTGTTCTGGCTCTTCAGGTTGAAGAAGAATGATTTAAGCCTGAACGAGTTCAGAAAAAAAAATGTGTACTGCACTGGTTGTCATAATATCTAATTACTGCAGAGACAAAAACAACATGCAAGTTTAGCATAGGCAAATCAAGACTAAAGCAATATAGAACTGCAGCCACCAAGGGATGTAGCGGGGGGTACACATGCACAGGGAAGACTGTACAAATGAAATGACAGTGTTGGCTTAAGTGTAAGCTGGCCATGAATACATTTAAAGTGGAAATTTGAAGAAACTGTTGTGGTTAGATCAATGAAATCTTGGAAGAGCCTTTCCAAATACAAATGCAGAGATAAAGGTCTCAACAGTTTTTAGGTGGAATTTTGATCAGGTTATGACAATGATTACAAGGTGCGCTGGCTTACAATACAAAGAGATTACATTCAGCCATGTTTCCTAGCATTTATGTTTTGCATTATAATGATAATTACAAGAAAGCTTTACAGACTTCAGCTTTTCTCTTATCTCACCACTCTTCACAGTTTTCCCGATTTTATAATCTCTTTTTTTATTCCCTCCTTTCTGAGTTTTTTGAATTACTCTTTGTGGTACCTAAAATTTATCAGGTTCTGAAAAAGTTAACTCAATCTTGTATGTTTTGGCAATTGGCATATTTTTGTCTCCTTTTTCGTTAATAAACTGAATTGCGAGAAATCATGCCACTTATAAGGAGAAGAGGCATGGAATTTCCTGTATTATTTCAAAATAAGTAATCCATTTGTTGGAAGTGGCTTCTGTGTTAGCATTTGACTCTCTCTGCTGTTTAACAAGTGTTTCATACAGCTCTAAATGCATGTGTTAATAGAAACCCAAATATATAAACAGAGTAAGTGAACGTTTTCATATAAAATCAAAACTTTTTTTCATTTTAGTAACATTTTATTCCACTTTGCAGGTGAAATGTTACTCCAGCTAAGTAGATTGCAGCAATTAAAAATGCACGGTACAGGGCTGAAAATGAGCAATAATGTGCATCTGTCTTGGTGCTTTGAAATATGCGGATTATGTGTCCTTCCTGCCATAAAACATACCTAATACACAAAGACGAACTGTTGTCACCTGAGTGATTTTTAAATCCTTTTTGTTTTTAAAGCAGATTTTGTAGGAAAAATTTGGTAAAGTGATGGAATATTTGTGTATTTTTTTAACATACAAAATGTAAAGTGATTGGAAAGCGTGTTTGCTATAGGATAGCTTTTACAAATGTCTTTATAAAGTCCATTCAAACTGTTTCAAGAGACAGAAGAACCTCTGGTATTTAAATGACTTTTTCCCCATATTTTCTGGCTTTATAGTTACTACAAAAATAGTAGTTAAAATATGGCTCTTACTTGTGTGTATTGGTACCTACCAATTGAGGGTGGAGCAAAACAAAAAACAAGAAGTTTAAAAGCTTTACCTGCCTACAAAAACCTCTTTAAATAAATGACTGCACAAGCTAACTAGTTTCTGTCCACCTACAACATTATTGTTTGGTGTCTTGCAGATTTTAGTGTCTAGAGGTTTTTCTATATTCATTTTTTAAATCCACATAGGCTGAATATTTTCTATATTCAGAAATGCATTTTTAAACCAGAACTTGATCTCAAATGTGGTGGATAACTGAGATAGTTACATGGGTGTAGGTGACACAGAACATGCATTCAGGCTTCTCTAGATTCACTGTTCTCAGAAAAAAAATGACTTGCTAACAGATTGCCTGATTTTCATCAAACTCCCTCGTATCTGTCCTGTGTTTTTAAAAATGCTTTGAAAAAATTTTTAATGATAATGTATGTTAAAACTATTCTTATTCCCATTCTTAGCTGCATGTTGATGTGTCATTTTGAAGAGCCCAAAGCTACAGAAGATGAGGAACCTCCCACAGAACAAGACAAAAGGAAAAAAATGGTAAGTTTTAGATCTGTTATTCAATTATAGAACTGATTATGTGATGCACTCATGTCAGACTAAATTCTTTGCCTTGAATTCATCTCATCCATTGTTCTTGGAAAACTTATCTCTTGAATCAAAAAAAAGAAAATGTTTTGATGACAAACTTTGCAGCCGCAACACTTATGCTTCTGCTTTTCTTCTGAGTCTTGGAAAACATTGCCAAAATAAACATAATCTGTTCAAGAAATCTGGACATTATAATACTAAGACACTATAAAAAGGTTTTGTAGAAAAACACAGGGAACCAAAGCTTACTGAAATGTCATGGCAGGCCAAATTTCTCATATTTCAGAATCTTTATTGTATTGGATTACATGTTTCACCTGAACAGCTGTTGATCCATATGCTTCCATATAGCCTTCTACTGTAAAGAACTCTTACTAAGGAGCATTTATTTAGATAATGATATATGGATTAGGTACTATGCAGTTGTGCTATTTTTGTCCAATCTAATCTGTGAGTGTTTCATAACTTAGCTTATTTTTGTAAGAGTTCAGGGAAGCTGCTTCCATACACAGAAAACTGCAGTGTAGAAATACTGTGGAACAAAATAGTCTGTTCTGCTTGGCATTGAGTAATTGCAAAACATGGAATTGGGTGATTGCATACATGTGGGTAGCCCTGTCATGCATTTGCTTTAACTGACCTACATGTATCTGAAAGAATACTCACGGATAGTCCTTTGGTACTATATTTCTTCTTGTAGGGGCAGAAAAGAGTTTGGATGACTTTTGATAATTTGTTTTAATTTGTTTTGGTTTGGGGGCTTTTTAAGCCACCGGATGCTTTTGGTTTGTTAGTAGGCTTTTCTCTTAAATACTATTCAGTATGTGGTTCCTTTTTAAAAGAAAGACAATTACGCAAAAACTTATGCATGTTCTTCTGCTATTAGTAATGCCTTAAGAGAAATTACTATTATCTTGCAATTTCAGATTTAAATAAAACACAGAAATATTATTTTCTGTGGTCCTTAAAAATTTATTACATAGTCCTACAATTCAGTTACTCTTAAAAGCATCTCTAGTCTCTGTTAAATATGGTTACGTTTTCTTCCACCTTGCAGACTTAAATTAAGTTCTAGATGTTTGTTGCAGAATGATAGTTATTATCCTTAGCAGTTTTGGATAATCTCTTGACATATATAGGTAGTTACACATACATCTTTAGTGGTAGGGATCGATATATTTGTATATCAGTAGGGAGAGAGATACCTTTGTTTTGTTAATCAGATTTAAAAAACATAAAGTGAATTTAAATCTACAGTCCTTGCATGTTCTTAGTTTTTTAATTACTTAGATCTGATTTCTCTCTAACTGGCTAAAGTTTTAATAACTTTCCTGCAGAAATTACCTTAATTTTTCAGTTACAGCTTGACTTTCATGGTTTGGATATGTATTTAGGAATTTAGACTTACTATATTTTCTATGGACTACCTTCGATGTGGATATATCGGGCAAAATGAAAAGTAGGACACATTGGTTTATGACCTGTATCATTCTTCTCTCTTAAATTTTACAATGCACCAGTACAGTGTTGATGAACACAAGTTATAATGAGGGAACTGTTCAGGGGTCACATGCAATACAGAGTCAATGGCTATTTGGATAAAGAGAAATGGCTGTGCCATGGTAAGAAGGACCCAGAACCAACAAGGACATGACAATGCAGGCTTTGATTTACATGGGAAACATATCACAGAATCATTAAGGTTGGAAAAGACCTTTAAGATCATCAAGTCCAACCATCAACTCAACACCACCATGCCCGTTAAACCATGTCCTGAAGTGCCACATCCACACATCTTTTGAATACTTCCAGTGATGGTGACTCCACCACCTTCCTGGGCAGCATGTTCTAATGCTTGACTACTCTCTCAGTAAAGAAATTTTTCCTAATATCTAATCTAAACCGCCCCTGGTACAACTTGAGGCCATTTCCTCTCATTCTATTGCTAGTTACTTGGGAGAAATGACATTCCCTTGCATGTTCACTTTGCTTTTTTCTCTAACAAATTGCGTGTGATTTGTTCCTCATCTGTACTTTAACGTCCAGCTTAAACACTTTTTCAGCCTTTGTTTCCTTGGAAGGTTTATAGAGAATAAAATGTCATACATGAACATCAAAGCTTCATTTTTCTTGCTGATCTCATAATCTAGATGTAACTATTTCCACAGTTACTGTGTTTTCTAGATTCCTAAGCATTATAAAAATCCCTTGTTTTTCTCCTTTCAATCTATTATTTCAATTGTAAGAATAGCTGGCTGTTTCACACTTAGAATTCTGTAATATATTAAGTTTTGTCATCTTCTTAATTTCATTGTTTTTTTCAAGATTCATTACTTTTCAGTAGTATTGCAGAGATGATTCAGAGGGATTATTTGGAAACCCATCATCACCTGCCATGAGGCAGGTGCTAGAGGTTTATAACCTCTAAGAGATGGTAGAGAGCATCTCTGTAATTATTATTGTAAGAGAATCTAGAGGTAGGTCAGACTTGAAGTTCCAGCAAACTTTTCAAATAAGCAAGAATTCAAACCCTTTATCTTCAAATCAATACAGCACTTTTGTTCAGAGTTTGAAAACCACCATTGGGATGCTAGAACAGCATTACACATGTTTGTATTCTAGTAGCTTGCTAAAATTGGAAAAAATTTGGACTTAAGTTGAGGCTTAATAGTGAACATTGACATATGAGAAATGAAAGTTTTATTTACCATTTACTTAAGTCTGGTTTTCTTTAGGGTTTTGTTTTTGTTTTTTAGGTATCAGAATAAACTTTGTAACATGAAATTGCTGATTAAATTAATTTGTCTTGGTAGAGTAGAAAGAAAAAATTATTGAAGTTGATTTTTTTTAAGGGAAATTGTTCTGACTTCCCATACTAATTCCAAATACTTTAACTTAAACAAGGGTTTATGGTAGGGTCACGTAAGTCATACAGTTAACTAAATATGTACGTTTGCAGGTTAAAAGGCTGTTAAGGAATGGCTTTTTTGGCAGTGCTTCCCAAGATGATTTTGTAATGCATGCCATTCATCTAGTTGCTGCTATGTCACAGTCACAAGGATGAGAACACTTGTTTATGGCAATTCTAATACCTGCTTTTCTGTCCAAAATTCCCTACAATAATTTTACACCTGACTGTTTAGAGTTATGAAGCTAATTAGAAATGTATATAGAAATATAGATATCCCAAATTACAATTGTTAGTTAACAAATGTGTATGGTTCAGAAACTGGTAGACTCTTTGCTTGGCAAGGTAGTCCTTTTTTACCCTGTCAATTGTGCTTACGCTCTTACAAAAGGATATCACTAGTCTTGGCAAACCTTGATTAGACTAGTTGTTGTTCAGAAATTTTGTTAGAAAAGTCTCTTTATATTCTGGAGACCAGATTACGTTTACTGAGAATTATTACAGAATACTAAACTATATTGCAATTACTCTTCTTTTGAAAAGAGTGTAATGTTAGGAATAAGTAATAAAAAGATCATATCTTACTTTTGAAATGTATAATAGCTGGACAGCAGAAAATGGTGAAGGATCAAAGGCTAAAAAGCCAATATTAGGAATACAGAGGGAATGATTAAGAGATTTACAGTATGAAAGGTAATACTAAGAAAGAAGAACTTGGAAGCACTGGTGGAAGAGGCTAAAAAGCAGCCTCTTTTTTCACTGAAGCTGTTCACAAGAAGTAAGACTAACTTATCTTTTGTGGTAATTACAGTGATTTTGGATATTTCATTCTTTCTTTGTCTTACATTTACATGGCTGTTTCAATCAGTATTTCCCACTGTTTTTTTTCCTGACCTTCTAGCATAAATAGTAGTGTTGTTTGGTTTTGATACTAAGATGAACAGATCATGGCTCTGCAGTTAATTTCGCATTTATTTCAATATGCTACTTCTTTATGATGTGGCAAGCTCCAGGTGTCCCCATCCCGCCCCCTTTCATCCAGCCTGATGGACTGAGGGACGAATGCTGCATTACTGCCTGTGTCCTTAACCTGCCCACACCTGTCTTCTGATACTAAAATTAAGAACAGGTCCTCTGTCAATGTAGCCCCTTCATTTACCTTTTTGCTTTCCTTAAGAAGCAGTTAACATGTGGGAAATAGTGGCAAATACTCTGTCCCTCCCTGCCCAAAAGAAAATTGCATAATCCAGCTGGACTCATGAGGTTGTATAGGTACTACTACTGAAGAAGTGTATCTATTCTTTATGCATATGGACAGTTTATTTTAGCTGTTGTTTGTCATATAATCTAAACTAGTTCAACTTCTTCAGTGTTTTGCTTCATTATTAGTAAAATATAATTGACCATAGTTCATGCCATCTCTAAAGTGCTTATCTTGCGAACACCTGATGTGTGTTTTCGGAGTTATGGGAACCTGATTTGGCAGTAATTAACAAAACAGCTTTGAAATTATTTTATCTTAGGGAAGGGTTGAATCTTGTAGCAGACTGGGTCCGTGATTTGAGACTGTTTCAAATAGTTTTAAACTGATACTTGCTTTTGATAACAATTAATTTGACCTTTGCTTTACAGGAGTTTTTCCTCTTGCTTCTCAATTAAGTTCAAGAAAAGGCAGATGTCTTTCTTTAGCTGAGGTTATAAAACAGATGAGTAAGTAGAGTAGTTTCTAATGCATTATTACATATTTTTCTCTTACATGTTTTCCACAGCTTGCACTGAAGGACCCTGTACACACTGTGTCTTTGCAGCAGTTCATCTATGAGAAGCTAAAGGCACAGCAGGAATTACTGGGAGAACAAGGTTTTCAGGCACTTATGGAAACCGTGGATACAGAAATAGTTGCACAGCTACAAGGATTTTTACAGGGCTTCTGAATAAGCAGAAATGAGATTTTGTATGTCCAATTTTCCTTTCCAAAAATCTGAAAGAACTCTAGCCTTCCATCTTGTATGGAAGAGCTTACTACAAGCTGAAAATAACTTGTTTTAAAAAATAAAAAATTAATTTCTGTTGTTGCTATAGCTAACTTGGGTAATGCTTTATGTTATTTTTTCATAATGTACTTAGGGTTTTATAGTAACACTTCCATGATTCCAACCATGGTATGTGCTGTCCTAGATAGTACCATTTTTTTGGTACCCTTATTGGCTTTTTGATTCACAAAGCTATGCCAGAAACTGAGAGTTCTGAAGAAACTTAGTAACCTATATTAATTATAAGTGTCTATTAATCCAGGAGTATAATTCAGTATCAGGAGCTGCTTGTCTTGATATTGTATACCTATAACTTTCTCCCCTTCCTATTACCACTTCTTGACTGTACATTTCAGACATACAAGCAGAAAGAGTTAGGAGAGAAGTAAGACTCTGAGCAGAAATATTCCTTCATGAAAGACAGATAATTCCCATTTGAATTGTCTCTGAGAATAAGAAACTGGAGGGATATGGTGCAGGTGAACAGTAAAGTCAGGACCCTGAATTTTAGGAAAGCAAAATTCCAGCTCTTCAGGGACTTAGTCAATAGGACCTCTTGGGAAACTGCCCTCGGGGACAAGGGAGCAGAAAAAAGGTGGCAGATTTTTAAGGATGCTTTTCCAGAGAGCAGAAGAGCTACCAACCTATTGGCCTCATCTCTGTGCCTAGGAAGATCATGGAACAGATCCTCCTAGAAGCCATGCTAAGGCACATGGCAGACAGAGGTGATTTGAGACAGCCAGCATGGCTTCATCAAGGGCAAGGCCTTCCTGACCAACCTAGTCACCTTTTATGATGGAGTGACTACACCAGTGGACAAGGGAAGAGATATGGACATCATCTCTCTGGGCTTCTGTAAGGCCTTTAACATGGTCCCCCACAGGATCCTTCTTTCTACATTGGAGGGAGATGGATTTGATGGGTGGACTGTTGGTGGATGAGAAGTTCGTTGGATTTTTGCATCCAGAGGGTAGTGGTTAATAGCTCAATGTCCAGATGGAGACTGGTGATGAGTGGTGTCCCTCAGAGGTTCGTACTGGGACCAGTACTCTTAAATAACTTCATCAGTGACATGGACAGTGGGATCGAGTGCACCCTCAGCAAGTTTGCAGAGGACACCAAGCCGAGCGGCGCGGTTGACACACTTGAGGGACAGGATGCCATCCAGAGGGACCTGGACAAGCTTGAGGAGTGGGCCCATGTGAACCTCATGAGGTTCAACAAGGCCAAGTGCAGGGTCCTGCACCTGGGTTGGGGCAACCTCCGGTATCAGTACAGGCTGGAGGATGAAGGGATTGAGAGCAGCCCTGCCAAGAAGGACTTCATAGAATAATAGAATAGTTTGGTTTGAAAGGAACCTTTAAAGACCATCTACTCCAACCCCCCTGCAATGAGAAGGGACACCCACAACTAGGTCAGGTTGCTCAGAGCCACGTCCAACCTGACCTGGAGTGTTTCCAGGGATGGGGCATCTACCAGCTCTCCGGGCAACCTGTGCCAGCATTTCACCACTCTCACTGTGAAAATTTATATCCTTATATCTAAGGATATAAAACCGTAGATCAGGAAGCAATACTTATCTGTCACCATTTGGTAAAATCACTTGCACAGCACCAGATGGTGCTCCCTGATGTTTCAGAGGGAGGGAGGTCCTACCTACTGTAGTTCAGCCCTGGCCAAAAGGCTGCTCTTTGCATTTCTGCCACATGGCCAAGCCTCCAAGCTCCTTGCGCAGCATCTTGCAGTCAAGTCAAACTTGTAACCATGGCTGCGCTCAGCTGAGACAGACCTGCCTGCCTGTGTCATTCTCCAAGATATTCAAGCCCCCGTTGCCTCATGTGCTGGAGTGCTAACTGCAGTTTATTTTAGTGCATGGTAACTAATGTTGGCACAGACTCTGTCAGGAGTGATGGATATACTTTTGGCTAATAATGACACCATAACATTGTGATTAACTTTCTGAGTAATGTCGCTGAATAATTGTATGTGTTCATATGCATTGGGGAACAAGTTAAATTTGTCACAAAGTATTTAGCTTTTTATCTTGGAAGATTTTACTCCAAGGCTTGGACTGTAAATGAAAGCAATTATCATCACCATAACTGCTTATATGACAACTATTGTCAGTTAGCACCCTGCAAAACAAGTGTCCACCCTCTCAGCAGTGGTCTACTGCTGAGAAAGTGGAGAAATTTCAACTTAAAACAGCAGAAAAACTTACATACAATATCCTTTTATATGAAATGGATTAAACTTTCACTGGAAGGTTGTGGATTAGGACTGCAGCAAGCTTTAGCCCTTTTTGTTGTTGTTGAAATTTCTGACTTTACCTTCTTGGGGAAGAAGGGAAACACAATACAACACCTGACACCGAAGCAGTAAAATACAGTTTCTGAAATTCTCGTGAAGAAGCATCTTTGATCCTGTGGCCCTTTGAGCTTTGTTTTTCAAGGCAAAAAATAATGTAAATGGGGATATTTTTTTTCCTACGTCACAATTAAACTCCTGAAGCTTACATGTTTTATCAGCTTACCTTTCAGAAGAGGTAAGGACTGTGAGTTGAAGACAAATGTTTTCTGTCTCCAATAAAAATTAAATGTCTTTGAAGGTATGTGCTGAAAGAAACTGAGAGAACTAATTCTGCTGCTTCTATCTTCACAAAATTAACTTCTGTGTATCAATGAAATGACCACTTTTAGGCCTTTGGTGTTAATCTCATTGCATTTTGTTTAATTTCTTTCAGCTTGTAAAGATAATTTTGCCCATGCTATAATTTAATCCTATTAGATAGTCCAGGTGTTTGTCTCATACAAAACAATTACTGGAATAATTTTACTTCCACAAACACTTTCAGGTTCGGTAGCTTGAAGTAAGATAGATAACCTTAAGTATGTTAAAGCTCTAGATTTACAAAGCAAAAAGAAAAGTCTATTTAGGTATGTGTATAAAGCGCACATGTAGGTAGATGTATGTCGTGTATACACGGGGCCGGGAGGTAACGGGCACTCACGTTTCACCGTGACCGCCCTGTTGCAGTGGGGCCAGTTGCGTT